TATAATTTTTCCTCACCAGGATAGGTTTCTTAAGAAAAGGCCCAAATGTTGCCAGCTGCCATGCTGTTCCTCCGTGAGGCTTCGTGGTACACAGCAAGACCAGTTCCCATAGCAAACTTGCACAATTAAATCTCTTGTGTTGGGCAGCTGTCCAAAGAGCAGAATCAATACCAAAAGGACAATAGTTTTGGTGCAGCTCTTGAGCTCGGGAGTAGCATGTAACACCCCATTCCGTGTCTGCTTTGTCTCTCCTCACTATTGGGGGGTTGTTGCCAAAGCATACATTCCTATCATTCTTGTGTCGCACCTCAGAGCGAGCCATTTTGTGAACTCTGGGCAAAGCTGAAACTCCCATTTCCTTTTAGAGCACTGCAAAATGCACCTTTGCATCCTTGCTGGGAGGAGGGGTGACTTGCCCTGTGATGAATTTCTACCCTTTGAAAACTTAAAGGAAGGGTAACACTTTTTTTTTTGCCTCCCCCTTTATCTGATATTTTTAAATTTCTCCCATGCAAGGGTTATGTCACAGCTCCTTTTCGAATTGAGGATCAGCAGTCACCATCTTGTTTTCATGCTTGGGTTGGTCTATAAGTCCTTAAGATGCCATTTTTGACTTCCCCAGAATTCTTCATCATCCAGTAATGTAGAAACTGGGGACAGGGAAGAACTGGAAATGCCAACATTTGACCAGATGTTTCAACTGTAAGGTCTTCAGTTCAAAATCTGCCTGAAAGTGGAAACTGTAGACTGTTGTCGTTGGTGATAGGTGGTGCATGGGCCAGATTCCTTCCTGCCTCCAGAGTCAAAGAAAATGGCTGGTTCCCAGCTGGGAGAACCTGAAGGCCGCAGTCTTATTCCTTCTGCCTTAAGGGATACCCTGGCAGTCCTCTTCACAGAGAGTCCTTGGCTTAAAAGCACAATGTAGCCCAAAATTTCTCTTGCTAAGCAAAGCCATTGTTTTGCCCCATTTTATGACTCTTTTTTGCCACAGTTGTGAAGCGCATCACTATGTCAGGGTTCCAAGTAATAGACCTATAGTAAGCAAAACTCGGAGGCGGACGAATTCCTCAAAGAATAGCTTTATTGGAGATACCATATTGGCACAAATCTGGTGAAAACCGACTCTGAAGGTTCCCACGGTTTTCACCTAATTAAAAGAGAAAGTTTTCCCACAACCCCAGTCAGTCAGTCGCATGGCCCAATCAAGACACTGTCGGGTTGCCTGGTGACCTCACTCCTCCTGCCACAGTCCAGGTGTGAGAATATCCTTGGTTCCCAAGGGAAAGTATTTTATTTTGGCTACAAACCCCAGCTATCTCTAATTTCCCCCTCCCTATCCCTCAGCTTCATTGGGGCAACACTGAAGCTGGGTTGGTCAACCAAGATAGTCAGGTCAGCTTCAGGGTTGACAGACTGAAGTTGTTAAGAGAATCACGTAGTTGTTAAGTAAATCCAGCTTCCCTCATTGCCTTTGCTTGTTGGAAGCCAGTGGGAAGATCACCTGAGCTCAGAACAAATGTGACTGTTATGAATACGTGACCATTGCCAAGTGCCTGGATTTTGATCACATGGGGATGCTTGCAATGGTCGTAAATGTGAAAAAGTCATAAGCCACTTTTTTCAGAGCTGCTGTAACTTCAGACAGTCTCTAAACAATTGCAAGTCCTGGAATACCTGCATTTACATTGTTTGTTGCCTTTCGAGGAAGCTCTCAGCGACAACATATACATAAAAGTCTGACCCAGCCTGCACTGCAGGGGTGATGTGCGGTGTTGGTGCTGTACAGCAGAGAAGCTCCTTCCCATCTCAGAAGAGAAGCAGGACCCAAATCCAGGGAGGAGGTGCAAACTCAGCAGAACATCCCAACCGGGCCAGCCTGATAGGCCGGTTGTCTCCTGGAATGGCACAATCGACCTGGTCCAGGGTGAAAAAACACAGCATTTAATTATATCCCAGGACTGAATTCTATGTGTAACAATTACCTAATTGTACTATTATATTATTATTTCCTGACAGCTAGAACAATTAATCAGTGGAACAGCGTGCCTCCAGAAGTTGTGAATGCCCCAACACTGGAAGTCTTTAAGAAGATGTTGGATAACCATTTGTCTGGAACGGTATAGGGTTTCCTGCCTAGGCAGGGGGTTGGACTAGAAGACCTCCAAGGTCCCTTCCAACTCTGTTATTGTATTGTATACTGAAAAGCAGGAGATTCCAGGCATCAATAAATCCTGATCCATATATCCACACAGATAATCTCCGAAGTCCATTACTAGCAGAAGTTGTGATGGGCATGGACGACTTTCAAAAAAAGAAGGCTGATTTCTTGAAGATGAGAATATTTGTGGCCACTGGTGGTTCTATTTTCCTTCCATAGTTGGAGATGGCAGTTGAGAAGGTTGTGTATTTGTGTTGGTGTTTCCTGGAGGGCATCTGATTGGCCTCTGTGACTGGGCCTTGCATGAATTTGGACTGATGCCCTGGGGTATGAACTAAAGACTACCTCCACAATGATCTACCCCTGCTTGGCAATGTTCTGTGTTAATAGAGCAGCTAAAAGTCTATACACACCGATATTGCATTCCTCAAGGCCAAAAACTACAAAGGTAGCAATTAGACTCCAACATTTGCATATTAGTGATTGCATGACCTCTGTAGATGTCACATGCTAAATAAATAAAGTAGCTGCCCTCAGCCTTTGTTTAGCACTAAGAGGAATCTGGTCCAGGACGCGTGACGACAGAGGACTAATAAAACATATGGGTTTTTACATAGAATTCAAGCAGACACTAAATAGTTGGAAGTTTCCAATTTTGCTGTCCCTGAGATACCATTTAACAGAGGAAATGGAGATGTGGGGTGTGGATCTCAAAGCCCTCAAGACCCTGTTCCTATAGCAAAGTCCCCTGAGTTGCTCACAACAAGAGATAAGTGTTGTATCTTATGATTCATTATGAATGTACTTATGATGGCTATGATCATGATTTATCACTTATATCTTTTATGTGCACCAAAGACAAATTCCTTGCATGTCCAATCACACTTGGTCAATAAAGAATTCTATAAATCAAGCAGAATTTCAATAATAATTTTTTAAAAGCAGTCACCACAGCAAAGGAAAGTCTTGAGGCATAAAAATAGCCTAAAGCTAAGGCAGATTCAGAAACCTGCAAAGCAAACATACCGTAGACAAGACTAATCTAGGTGCTAATGGTATTCTCCTCTGGAGAAGATACTGCAGAACTGGGACACCATGGGACTGAAAAGACCCTTACCAATAGCCAGGAGGGCCTTAAGAAGACCCCTGAAAAGCTCCCAGCCAGTTTGGGTGAATGCAAGCAGGGGGGGGGGGGGAAGCCTGTGCTATGAAGAACCTTAACAATTTTCATGGAAAAGACATTCTAGAATTCCATGCAGTTGGAGGAGCCCTGAAATCAGGCTCTGATCTCTCATTCCAAGTGAGCTGCCTCAGCCCTACTCTGACCTCATTGCAAATTGGGAATGGTTTTGAAAACTGGTTCCAAATACAAATGCATTGCGGCATTCAAGATAGGAAATTCCCAACACAAGGAGCATCAAAATAGTAGTACAGTATCCCTGTCCCAGGAGTCCTGTAGCTGGAATTTCCACTTGTTCTAATAAAGGGTTCTTAGGTCCATCAGGCTCTCACAGATGCTCCAACAATGAGGACAAATCATGAGTGCTTTCTAGATTATGTGCTTCATGAAGATTATTTTTCAAGAAGTGGGGTCTGCAGCCTTCCATAGATTTATCACCAGTTGTTAGGCAAATAAGCTGTCTACTAAATACTTTCCACTCCAAGTATGAACACAAAGAAGTTAAATTAAATAATATTGGAAATAATATTCCAAATTATATTGGAACCATCCAAAAGTACTTCCTACGGCTCCAACTTCAATGTAAAGGAGAATCCTTGTAGCCCAGGGTTGAAATGAGGGCTCCTTGGGTTAACCAAGCTCAGAGAGCGCCAAGGACCCCTTGCTTAACTTTCCAGAAGGGTCTTTTGGTTGATAGTCAAAAGCTACTGAGAAGCCCAGGGAGAGCTAGCAGCATTATGTTTCCTCTGCCTGCCTCCTAGCAACCCTTTCACCCTTGAGACAACAGGATAAAGAGTTGAAAGAAATCTCATCTGATGCTGAGATATAAAGAAATAACTCTTGAGAATATAAAGAAATATTGTTGAAATGCTGGGGGGAAATATGGGGAATTACAAAGTAAGGATAACAGTTAGTGGAAATACAGATGATAAGCCAAGAGAATGACCTGGAAAATGATGGAATTCTGGATTTATGAAAGAGGATTGATAAATCCCAGAAACTTTTAAGATGGGAAAAAGAAAAACTGAAGAGAGATTGAATTCTGTGACGGCGTCTGAATAATGATCAAGGTTGCTAGAAGCAAAAGGAGTAGAAAGTTGGTTTCTTTGACCAAACTTAAACTAGGACATATTAGTGTAAAACCCTGAGAACCCTTATGGACGTTTTACTGATACTAGACTGAAATGATAATGATTTATGGGTTTGCATATGAATAAAGGATGGGCTATGGAAAGAAGAGAGATACGTGCATGTAGCAGGCCTGTCTGTATTTTTATCAGAAGCACCTACAAAGCTAACCAAAGTTATTAAATTTGTGCTTATTGTGAAGATTGAAAATCACTATTTTTTCATATTTTTCCCCTTTTTTCTTTTATTTGGCACTTTGTATTCTCTTTATTTTTCTTGTCTTCTGAGTTTGTATAGTCTTCTACTGTTGTTTTCTTAAAGACTTTCAGCAACATTAAAAAGGGGGGAAAAATAATGCTAAGTATCATAGCAAACTTTGGCTGTCGGCTTGATTTGGCCTCTATTTTCTTGGAGACAACTTTCTCCTTTGCCCTCAGGGTTTCCGCAGCTGTAATCCCATCCTTTGCAGATCGGCTGTTACCTCCCAATCGTTCAGGTATCCACCTCTCTCTTCTGGAGGAAGCTCCTCCTCCTCTTCCACCCTCGCGGGAGAACTGCAAAGGGAGGGAACGTGGTGCCTCAGCCAGTCTTGACTTCCTTGGGTGGCCCCTCTGCAAGTACCTTGGCCCTCCTGCACAATTCCAAGCTGAGCTGCCCTTTGGGTAGTTCTGAGGAAGGAGACCATGAGAGCTGGGGCAAGCCCACCGAGGAGCCCCTGCTGGCCCAGCATCTGGCATTCCCGTGCGAATACTTTAGGAGCTGAAGGGCACCCTTGCTGGGGCTGAATAGACGCAGTTGGACAGGTTTGCTGCTGAGCTGGTTTGGCCAGTGCTCTGGAGATGGGAAGCTACTTGTCTGCCTGGGCTTATGTCACTCCAAGGAAGCCCTTTTGGTAAGTGTGCCTTCCCGCTTCCTTGTCTGCCTAGTAGATCTTGTTCCCAAAGAGAGGCAACCATTTGGGAACACAGCGATGTCAGAGCCTGGAAGCCCTTCCCTCCATCAGCCGTCCTCCTACTTAGCTCGGAAGCCAGGTGAAGGGAGGATAACTGCAGGTGTCTTTTCCCTGCTTCAATCTGTTGTAGGGTTTTCTGTCCATAGAGCAGATGCAAAGATGAGAAGAGAAGGACCAGGGAGGCCCAATAGCAATCTTGCAGTATTTGAGGGGCTGCCACAGAGAGGAGGGGGTTAAGCTATTTTCCCAGGCGCCTGAAGGTAGGACAAGAAGCAATGGATGGAAATTAACCAAGGAGAGAAGCAATCTAGGACTAAGAAATTTTCTGACAGTGAGAGCAATCAACCTGTGGAACAGAAGTTGCCTTCATACTTTGGGGAGCTTCATCGCTGGAGGCTATCAAGAAGAGACTGGACTGCCATTTGTCAAAAATGGTGTAGGGTCTCCTGCTTGGGCGGGGGATTGGACTAGATGACCTACAAGATCCCTTCCAACTCTGTTAATCTGTAAATCTGTAAAGTGGAAAGTAATAATTTATTCCTGAAGAGACGGTTGCAACTTTATACATGAACTCCATACTTGATTGAACTCAATATGTTATTGGAATATAGCACTGATCCATTATTCCTGGCCCAGACATTAGTGGTTGGTGGGACGTAGCATCTGTGAATATTAGCGTCCATAAATGCCTCCCTTTGTATTCCCCATGAGCCCCAGATTGTTAGGAGGCAAAATGGGTGGGAAACCCCCTCTCTTTCAAAGTGTTCCTAACAATCTGGAAAAAGGCTTGAGGTGAGTTGAGAAGGTGAAGAGCATTTTTGATACTGAAGGGGGCGACAGTAAGCAGGTTTACTAGTGGACTTTGAGGTAACCATTTGTTATCGATGTTCCCAACATGGCAGCCTTTTCAGTGAAGGCAGCAATGTCTTATTCTCCAAATTCTCTCTCTTCTTGCCCATCTCAAAAGGTGCAGGGAAGAATATAAAGAACTCATAAAGAAGTGCTGATACTCAGAAGCTGTCAATCAGCTACTAAGCAACCACCAAATTATCCACTGGTTTTCTTTAGGTGCAGAGTGCTTTGAATCTGGGCTTGGAACGTAACATGCTGTTTTGTCAGTTCAGTTGAGATTGCAAAACACGTAAAGATTTGAATCCGTTCATTACATCTGCTAGAGTAGACAGAAGTGATTTTCTCTTTTACGCAGCAATAGAACCTTGTTTTAAAGTAAATTTAAAAATGTCCCTGAACATAAGGAAAAGTGATACCAGAGGCCCATCTCCCAAAACACCTTCCTTGGAAACCTCAGGTAAATGTAGAAGGACCAGAATAATGGGATGCCTCCTTCAGTGAATTTGCTGTCTATTCCAGGAGGAGTAGAAAGGACGGTGTGGGGCAGGATAATAATTTCTTTCCTTCGTGGAAATTCCAAACTCATTCGGTAGGCACATATATACTATATGGAAAACTGTGCCGGGGAACTCCTGCATCAAAATGTTTTGGTAGATCAAAGCTACTTTAAAGGCCCTTCCCCCTGTTTGCCCTGAAACTGGATCCAGTTCCCAGTTCTTGGACCAGCCGGAGCCAAAAACAAAAAGGGTTTCAGAGGGATAGACTTCTGACGGGGATCAGATTTCATGTTCAGTGGCACGATGAAGGAGTTGGGGGAGTGGAGCTCTCTGTGGGAAAGCATGCCTAGTGAGTGAAACATTGTGATCTGGCCAGCATCGGCCTGTTTCCTCTTGGGAAGGTTTCAAGAGTCTGTAGCTACAAGCCAAAGTACTTCCCCCCCCTCTCCCCATGGAACAGATGGGTCTTTGCTGCAAAGCTAATGAATTGGGCGTGGGGGGGGACAGCTTTGCAATCTTGCCAAGGATCTTGGGCCTAAGTGTTTGTCGCAAAGTGTTCAGAGTCACTGCAAGAATTTATTTTTTTGTTTCCATTCTGGGTTTCTTTGGTATTTTCTTGCTCCATGAGAGCTTAGAGTTTTCCAGTCTCATTCCTTGCTGCTCAGGCGTGACAGCAGCTGCTCCAGGTTTTTTTTTAATAGAGCTCAGGTTCTGAGCCATTTTCCTCATGGCCTATCTTCCAAAAGATGCTTCTTCTTTGGTTGGGGGTATTCCTTGGATCCCTGGCAGCTTCTTAGTCCCCAGCAGATGGAAAGAAGCCCTGATTGTTCAGGAAGGCTCACTTTGCCTCTAGCCTGGGCTTTCTTGTTAGATTCTCCTTCATTGTCTCTTTCCCAGGTTAAAGAGATGGGAAGAACTGCAGGCCTTTCTTTCTTTCTTTCTTTCTTTCTTTATTTATTTATTTATTTATTTATTTATTTATTTATTATCGTTTATTGAATTTATATTGCCTCCTATTCACACATGGCAACTCAGGGCGGCTTACACAATATAAAACATCATATAAAACTAATCAAGAAGAGTCATATAATAAATTACTATAATAAAATCACCCCCCACTAAAATCAAGCAACATTGGGGATTGAATTAGTACATAAGATCTGTCTGTCTGTCTATCTCATTCCATCCATCATATTTAGAAACTGTCCATCTCCTTCATAGAGGGATCATGGGTCATATGTACAAATAAAATGTTAAAAACATTTAAGCTGAATGTAAAAAAAATTAAAAGAGGGTAAGAGTAATTTAAAATGTGACTTTAAAAGGGTGTCCAGCAAATAAAACATCCCGCCCCCTTTCCCCCCCCCCCCCCGCCAGCTGCTCAGAGTGCCAGGACCTCCTCACCAACTGGTACTACGAGAAAGATGCCAAGCTGTACTGTCCCAAGGACTACTGGC